CAGAAGCACAGAGAGTGCTCAGCCTAGACTCACAGAGGGGAAGAGGTGGGGACCCTCAGCTGACATTACCTGTACAAGTGGTGCGGTAAGGGAAGGAGGGAGGAGGTAAGGGCCATTTCAGGCATTTCCAACAGCTCGTGCGAAGCTACAGCCCCTGGAGGAGTCCTGGCGGGATGGTGGTGGCAGGAGGGTCTCTGGGAAGGTGAGTGAGCCAGCTTGGGACAACCCCTGCATGTCTGGGTAAAGGAATCCGGACTATGTGGTATAAGAAGGCAATGGACGCCGCCAAAGGTGTTTCCAGAAGGTAATTCTCTAGAAGCAGAATGATCAATCAGAGGGCCTGAGTTAGGGCAGTGGCAGAAGGAATGTATGGAGGGAATGAATTCAAGGGATATTTATGAGTTGGAATTGATACGATCTGGTGAACAAACAGACAGAAAGCGAAGGAGGAAGGAGAGCCAAGAGTGACCCAGGTTTGGGAGTGAGGGGCCAGTGATGAGGTAGAGCCATTCAGTGGGGGAAGAAAGGAGGAAGAAGGAACCTGTTCTCTGGGTGTCTAGTTTGTGTCATCACTGTGCTAGGCATCGCGCAACCCTATTCCATGGCTGGTGTCCTGGCCTAAACCTCAGATGATGCGTCAGAGCCTCCAGAGGGCGTTGGCAGTTCCCCCAAAGTCACCAGTAAGTGGGGGGATGTGACTTTGAATCTAGATTTTCCTTTTAACTGTGTTAGTTGAGGGCACACTAAGCAGGTTTTAACTGTACCAGCTGAGATGTTGAGCAGGTACAGGCATTCAGACAGCCACAGTGAGCGTGTTTCTGATGCTCCAAAGGAGAACTGGCCTCCCAGTAAGGGGTGTAAGATGCAAGGACAGGAGAGGTTTGAGGCTGTGAACAGATGCAATTTCTGAAGGAACACTCCTAGTAAGAGAAGAGAACCCTGAGGAAGCTTCACAAAAGATGAGTCAACAACGGAGTCTGAGAAGGAGCATTCAGAGAGCCAGGAGGAAAGTCAGGGTAAAGTGGTTCCTTACCAAAAAAAAAGGGAGAGAAGACTCAAAAGACCAGTGAAGCCTCTCACCCCTGTCACATGTCACATGGATGTTGAGGAATGAAGCCTGACATGGATCTACCGCTTTAGCAATTGCAATCATTCTGCCAACCTTCAGAATTCAGGACCGACGCCTGTAAGGCCTGGTGCTCCTCTCGCGATACCTGACCCTGAGCCCAGACTTGCCAGCTCAGTACACGTGCCTGGGGGACTCAGTTCAGCATCTGGACATGCCCACCAGACCATAAGCTCCAGGAGGGCTGGGGCTAACACTCTGCTCATCACTAGCTCAAAGGCCCCTAGCCAAATGCCCTGCACAAAATGACTGCTCAGTAATGATTTGCTGAATACCTGGCTGAAGCCAGCTATGTGTAGCTCTGCCCTCACCTCCTCACTACACTCAGCAGAATCAAGGGCGATGGACTGTCTACAAGACCAGGCGATTAGTGGGCAGAGCTGCCACAGCAGCATTGCCAAAATGGTCTCAGAGGTTGCATATGACCTTGAGCCACCTTCCTTTTTGCTTGACTAAGCACGGAGTCGTTTACTTGTTTTGACTGCCTTTCAAGCCTGGTGAAAGTAAAAGTGTTAGTCACTCGGCTGTGTCTGACTCTTTGCAACCCCATGGACTGTAGCCCGCCAGGCTCCTCTGTCCATGGGATTCTCCAGGCAAGAATACTGGAGTGGGTTGCCATTCCCTTTCCAAGGTATCTTCCCAACCCAGGGATTGAACTTGGGTTTTCTGCATTGGAGGCAGATTCTTTACTGCCCGAGCCCCCTGGGAAGCCTGGAGCAGTGGGCTTAGCACAAAGGAAGACACGATGGTTGTTTTGTTTGGGGAACTGATTTTCCTCACATAAGGATATTATATATAACTAGCTGTCCGCACTGCGTGGTGGGATGGGGGCGGAGCTTTGAGGTATATGGGGGTGGGGGGCTTCCTGAGCCAGTGCCCAGGTCTTCTGAGCCTTTGAAACTGTGTTTTTCCTACAAACACTGGCTGCAGGAGAAAAGTGTAGTGTAGAAGTTAGGAGACTGAGTCCCAGTTGAGTCACTAGCTGGCCATGTGACCTTGGGCAAGTCCTCCAACACGGCATCATTTAATGTGGACTCCTTCTGCAAAATGTGGCCTCCGCTCCCCTCCCTTCACTGCACTGTGGGCGCATCTGCTGTGGCCAGGGCTGGGGCGGGGTGCAGCTACAAGCAGACTCCCTTCTGAACCCATGCCAGTCTCCGAGCACTGTCCCTAGAGCAGGGCCCAGCACCACCCTGCAGCGGCCTCTCAGTCCTTCTGGAACAAGCATTCTCTCTTGTGCCAACCCTGGGGACACTGGCCAGGAAGTGGCGAAGACAGAGGTTTGGAGCGCAGGCTTCAGGTTTCTACAAGACCTGGGTGCAGTTTCCTCTACTGGGTGTCTGGCCATCGGCAAGACACCAAATGACTCTGAGCCTCTGTCTCCCCAATGGAGCCTGCTTACCCCAAGGGGTCTTGTGGTGATCACAGGAGATAATGCAAAGAAAGCGCCGAGTGCAGGGCTTGATACAGAATGAGCGTGCAGGAAATCTTAGCTATTAACAACAATAAATATTATTTATGGCTTAGATCCATACATCATGAATACTTACAAAAACAATAAAATTAAAGGTTACAGAGACCCTAGGGATATTTTCTAAGCTTCTGGTTGTAGAGATGAGGCGATGGAGACCTAAGAAAGGAGAAGGGACTGCCCTAAGACCCTCAGACTTCAACAGGACCAAAAGCAAGGAGTCCAGCTCCTACATGGATGGGTTGTGATGCTCCATCCCCAACTCCTATGAGGGCCCTGGTTGGGGCAGACACCCTTGGCTGTGGGAACCCTGGTGTCTGACTCACCAAGGTTCTGTCCACTGCATGCACTCAGTAGAGCCCCTGGCATGATTTGAGCCAGGTCACCTCCCTGTTCTGGACCTCCTTCCTTAAGGGGGACAAAATGGTCTTTACGAGTCTTCCAGGTCTAACATTCTGTAGTTTCAAGAATGGGGCCCAACTAACCACAAACAAGTGGCTGGAAACCTCAGTTAACTGGAATCTGTCTCAGATGTTCCTTCCTTGGAGAAACAGGCAGAGCCCAAGAAAGCAAATCATCCACTGTCCTCGGTGGTGTTCCCTGGTTCACCACATCCTTGGGTCTGCTTTGGTTCACTGGCTACTTCCTTGCACTGCAGACAAGCAGATAGGCTCAGAACAGCCCAGGGTTTCCCCCGTGAGGACGGGAGCTCAGAACCAAGGCCAGCACCTAGAACAGTGTTGTGCATGGAGCACTCGTTCCATAATGGCCCCAACAACATGAAACCCAAGCAAGAGGAAGGGGTTCTGGCCTCGATGGGGAGCCTGGGGACCCGGGACAGGGCCTGTGTGCTGTGGTCTCTCACCAGCTGGGCCTACTGCTCTGCCTGTAAAATGAGGTGATCAGATGAAAGGTCCTGCTCCCTGTGTGCGGAGCTCTCACCATCCCTCCTCCTTCTCATTACACCCAGCATGAGGAGCCAGAATTTGTCTCTGGTCTGCCCTCCATTTCTGGAAGAAGAGAACCTGTCTTTGTCATCATGTCTTCCCAAGCCTCACCCCAAACCAAAGCAAAATAGGCTTCTGGAAATGTTTAGGGGAAGGAGGGGAGAGAGCAGGAAGGGAGAAAAGGAGGAGCAGGCTGAAGATCCTCCAGCACTAACCTTCTACGGTTCCACAAAGCTAAATTCTAAGGCAATTCACCAACAGTGTGTATCAGGCACAGCATTCATGGTGAGAGTACCACAGGGGGAGGAAAGCGATGTGGAACGACACGTGAAGCCCTTTCAGCCTAGGAACAGCTGACTTCCCAAAGCACAGGCCCTGTGGATCCACTCACAGTGAAGGCCAGCATGCTGCATACTGCGGGAAACCCCGCCTTCACAGTAAGACCTCAGAGATGCTGGTGTCGGAGGCCACGACTCAACTTCCGTCGCTAAACTCACCAGTCACATGTCAGCGCTTTCCAGTCCAGAGCCTTACGGTTCCAATTCAGGAACACGATACAGCAGGAACTGCAGTATTCAGGAACACACAGAGGGATGGATCTTATAAATAACTCCTGGTTAAAACAGAGCTGAAAATAGGGAGACAGAAGAGGAAGCAAGTCGCTAAGCACTTATTGAGTCGATAACGTTGGCTTGAAAACCTTAGTGCAAATGGCTGGTCTGGTTTATTTCCTTCTCATCAAAAGGTCAAACACAGGATTGAACCTGGAGGCACCAAGACGTGTGTGTCTGAGGATGTGTTTGAAGGGGATGGCTCTCCTTGGGTGACAGTGTCTGAGCGAAGATCCTAATCCACAGCCCTTGCATCAGATCTCACAGCGCCACTTACTCAGTTGGTTGGTGGAAACTCAGTTAATCATCCCTGGACCTCTCTGAGCCACTGTCCTCACAGGAAGGTCTGGCCGTTCTGTTAGCCTTTTAGCTCTGAGATTCTAGACCACAATTCATGGCTGAGGCCTGGGAATAAGAGTCAGGAACTCAAAAGTCTGAGTTAGATCTAAACTGTCCTCACATGTTCTGTCTCCATCTTTTCTGTTCCCAGTAGGGACTTCCTTTAGCTGCAAAGAGGCCATACGGTTTGTGCTCTCTCAGATGCTAAAACTGAGTGGAAATGTGCTTGATTCCCTTGCGATCCCCAGGGCCCCCATCTTGAGGTGTGGCCGGGGCGGGGAGGTGGGGCGGTGTGAAGAGAGATGTGTCTGCCTGGCCCACATCCCTGCCTCCCAGAGCCCACAGGACCCAAGTCTGAAGCTGAGCATCCAAGAGAGTGCCAACCTCAGTGCCAGGCCTTCGCTCCTGAGGGCTGGCGAGGAAGAGCGTGGCTCCCTGTGCCGGGGGTCTCCGTGTGCCGGGGGTCCCCGTGTGCCGGGGGAGCCGGCGGAAGGCCGGCGCCGCCCTCAGCAGCAGCTGCAGGTGCCCGTGTGCACGCGCAGGATGCCGCGGCTATGCAGGTGCAGGAAGTTGAAGATCTCCGAGGGCATGGCGTGGAAGCCGGGGCGGGGCTTGACGTTGTCGTAGTAGTGGTGGGTGATGTACAGGCCCGAGGGGTTCATGGGGAAGGCCCAGAAGCCGAACAGGTGCACCTCCTCACAGAGCTCGAGCGCCGCCGTGGCCAGGATGAGGCCGGTGCTGATGCGCTTGGCGCGCACGCCGAGGCTGAGCCAGTAGCGCGACACGTTGGCCAGGTACTGCGGGTGGAAGTAGTAGACGGCCTGCGGCGACTGGAAGTCGTCCAGCACGTACTTGACGCGGATGGACACGTCGGTGTTGCGCGTGTTGTAGAAGGCGGGCAGCAGCACCGACGCGTTCTCGTATAGCTGCAGCACGCGGTAGAAGGGCCGCCGCCACTTCTCCAGCTTGTGGAACCTGGCGGGGCGCGCGCGCAGCGTGAGACAGGCCCCGGGCCCTGGCTGGCCCCACCCCTGCTCCCTGGGCTCTTCGCAAAGGACTGGGGGGTCTCTCAAGGCCGCCCCCCACCCCCTCGGCTCCTTTTATCTCAGTCACTCAGCAGATGAATGTCCACCTTCCTCCGGCACAGTTCTAGCTTTCTGAGTGGGTGCAGGAGAGAGCAATCTGGACCCAAAGGGACAAGTACCTGGTGTGTGGCTGCGGCGGGGGCGGGGGCGGGGGTGGGGGCGGCTGGGGAGGAGGGTAATCCTTAACCCACACGGATGAGGGTGCCCGGGCAGGCTCAGAGGGGAAGTGAAGGAGGGAGGCCTTCCCTCGAGCCCTCGGGACACCCCCCTGGCCTGCCTTCACCAAGTTCCCCGGGGATGGACACCAAGCCAGCCGCTGGCCCCCGGAGCCCTTCCTTCCCCACAGCCCCTCCCTAACCTTCTCCCTACATCAAACAGCCCTCCTGCCAGCTGACTCATCCCACCCCTGTCTGGATGCTGACTCTGTAAAGGTTCCTGGGCATCTGGCCCCATTTACCACCTCCGCCTCCTCTTAGCCTTCTCCTGACCTGGAGGTGTGAATGTGCCCGCTTTGGACTTTTAACACCTTGACCCTTCCCCCAGGCTTCCCAGACAGATCCCAGGAGGGGACCCGCCCAGGGAGGCGGTGGCTTGAGGTCCTTGCCAGAGGCCCCCCCAGTGTCACATGGACACTCCCTGTAGGGAGCTGTCCTATAGCTGGAAAGCTCTCTGATTCATCTCTAGGGGAAGATTGTCTAGACCAGCGCTGTCAAGAGAGACATCAGGCAGGCCACAAATGTAACTTTAAATGTTCTAGGAAGCACGTTTAGATAAGTAGAAAGGATTCGCTGAAATTAATTTTTACAATAGATTTTGTTTAACCTGATATTCCCCCATACTACCATTTGAATATATAATCCACATAAAACTGTAATGAGGTGTGATTCACCGTCTTTTTCATAGTGTATCTTTTAGAGCAAGGGTGCGTTTTGCACTTAGAGATGGCACATCTCAATCTGGATGGTGCCCAGTGGCCATGCGTGATGAATAGCTACCGTATTGGAGAGGACCGGTCTAGAAAGAGGGCTACTGACCTCTCTGTGATGATGCTGGGGTTCACAGTGACCACGTCTGTCTTCACCCCTACATCCATGGTGTACTTCTCTGAGATGGGGGGTAGGTTGCACCTGCAGAAGAGATAAAGTGGCCCAACTGCATGTAGTCAGTCATTCTTGAGGGAGCTGGGGAGCTGAGGTGTGGGATGAAAGGGATGGTGATCATTTGGGCAGAGGAACAGAGAGGAAACCAGCTGGGTGGAATCTTCGTGGCCTGGACATAGAAGGGCAAGTTCAGCCCCTTCCCTCACCAACCCTGAGTGGCCTAATTGTTGTAGATCTCCAACCATAAGATGATTGCAGCCTCAACCCAAGTTTGTTCGCTTTAACTCTTATTTTCAAGCTATCTTCTTGACTCAAAGAGGTAAGCTAGAATCCCCAAAGAGATAAGAGGGGGTTTTACATAAGGAAGAAGAAATACATGGACAGGTGTCTAACTTAGGTAAGGCCACAGTGAAGGTGTCAGCCACAAGGCTACCCTGGTTATAAGCAATGCTTCCAGAAGAGTGGAACCCAACCAGAGAGGTAGCTGCCCAGACGACCTCACTAACAGCTCTGTATGCCCCTGTGAGTCCTCAGTGTCTTCATATCTGGTATGTCATTTGCTCCCATTTTACAGATGTGGAGACTGAGGACCTGACAGTTTCGACCCCTTGAACAGGATGGAGCTGAAGGGAGAAGGGACAACCCAGAGCATGAGGGTTCGCAGGGGTGGGAAGTGGGGGTTAAAAGGGCAGCATTAGCAGGGTGGGGCACCAGAAGGGGTGGGCATGGAGGAGGAGGGGTGTGGGGGTAGAAGGGGCAGGTGCAGACCCAAGGTGACTCCTACCGGAAGACAAAGTCGGCACTGTTGATCTCTCTCCCGCAGCGGCTGTTCTTCAGGATGCCCCCGTTGCCCACCACCGCACACTTCTTAAACTGGGACCGGTAGTAGGGCATGTCCTGGGGAGACAGGGGCAGAGCTGTCAGAGGCGGCGCCACCCCTGCCTCCACCTGGTGCCCTGCCCTCTGTACCCACAACCAGCTTTGTACGGAACAAGGGAGAGAAGAGGCTGTTCCACTTTGCAGATGAAAAGAGATTAAAAGCCTCCTTCCCAGTTCCACACGCAATTACGAGTGAGCTGGAACCGGAAGCTAGGTCTCCATGACCTTTTTCAATAAACCCCGGAAGTCCCCAGTTTCAAATAAGAGCGTACAGGTTATGCCTACCCTGCTTGCCTTTGCTTTCCCCAGTGTCTGAAACTCAGCTTCTCTGACTTCTAGTCCACATATTTTATGCTTCCCAGGTGCTTAGATGGTAAAGAATCTGCCTGCAATGCAGAAGACCCAGGTTTGATCCCTGGATCCGGAAGAGTCCCCGGGAGAAGGGCATGGCAACCCACTCCAGTATTCTTGCCAGTGGTTAATGCAGACTTTCTGGGGAATGACAGCAGGGACCAGGGCCCTAAATCTGGCCCTGAAGCCTTTCAGCTCCATGCGGAGGGCACAGAACTAGGACAAAAAGGTCATATAGACCAGCACAAATGCCAGGACTTGGCAGAAGCAGGGACAAGAGCAAGCAAAGCCACTTCAGGGGAGCAGTGAGAGCCAGCGACCCTGGGATCTCTGCAGAGAAAACTGTGTTGAACACAGGGGAGCCCAGGACTTACCCTGGTGATGATGCACCCATGGGGCACTGGGAAGGAGCATCCCACAGCACTCTGACCTGATCACACCTCAGCTGGCAGGGTTGCCTGGGTTGGGGCACTGGCTGCCCCAAACAAAGGCTCCCTAGGCCTGCCTTCCAGGGGACCACAGGCAAGTAGGCAGGAAAAAGCAAATACTGGCCTGATTAAAAGACCTGGTTCTGCCATGTCCCCAGTCTAGGCCTTGAGGCAACCCGAGGCAGGTGGGACCAGGCAGGCTCAGGGCAGGAATGTAGACCTGGAATCAAGGGGTGACCAACCATCCCATTTGGCCCAGGACTGGGACACTTTGCTTGGGATGCAGGACTTAGATTCAGTCAAACTGGGAATGGCTGGGGAAAACTAGGATTGAGCACCCCAGTTAAAGGACCCAACTCAATCCTGGTTTTGCATCACAGTGAGTTGAGGGAACCATGGGCAAGGTTTTTTGAACTCTCAGTGACTTAGTTTTGTAAAATTTGTTAGGAATTAAATTTTGTAATTTAAAAAATCAGGATAGTAATGTATATTTCCTGCGATTCAGTGAGATGACGTAAAGCAGAAATTGCTCAGCTTGGCAGTACTGATATTTTGGACCAGAGTGAGCGACTTTCACGTTCACTTTCATTCCTTGCTGTGGGGCTGACTGCCCACTCCAGGAAGCTTAGCAGTATCTCTGGCCTTGTACACCCCAGTCAGGATGACCAAATTCATCTGATTGAACCCAGGTCTCCCCCATGGCAGGCAGATTCTTTACCAGCTGAGCAACCAGGGAAGCCCAAGAATATTGGAGTGGGTAGCCTATCCCTTCTCCAGTGGATCTTCCCAACCCAGGAATCAAACCGGGATCTCCTATGTTGCAGGCAGATTCTTTACCAGCTGAGCTCCTAGGGAAGCCAAAAGCATCTCCAGACATTGGCAGATATCCCCACCTCCCTGCCCCACACATAGACAGCCACTGGTGTGGATGAAAAGCTCACCATACCTGGCCCAAGGCTGAGGGCATCAGGTGCTTATTATGGGATGGCCCTCACACCCAGAGACCGCTGGGTGGCTTTCCTCCTAGCTCACCCCAGCTGGCCGGCCCTGCGTGAGAGCAGCCCCAGTCAGCACCTGGGGCTTCCACTGAGACCAACTGCCAGACGGGCATCGTGGAAGATCCCACGATTTTCAGCAGGATTGAAAATACAACGGGATCTCCAGGAATTAGGCTAACTCTAAAGGAGGCGCTGTACCCATCTGTGGGAGACTGTCCTTCTTGGCACATTTTCCCTGGAGGGACAGGCTCCCAGGACTAAGACAGAGGAAGCAAGAACATCTCATGGCCAGTGTGGGAAACTGCACTGTTTGACTTTGCTCAGAGGGAGAATAAAACAAAGCCATCTTTGGAGAGATGACCAAAGGTGTTCTATGTTTTATGCCAGTGTTTCCCACACTTGTGAAAACCAGAAACCCCCTGGGTACTTTATGGAAGGATACATCCTTGGATCCATCCCAGAACCATGGAGTCAGAATCTTCAGGGTCAGGGTAGGAGCCTGAGAAGCTGCATATGTTTTGAACTCAAAGAAATACTCACCTTAGGGAAGTTCAGATAATACTTATGTGTCACATGCTCTAATCCAGGGGGTGGTAAATTACAGCCCGCGGCCACACCTGACTCACCACCTATGTCTGCGCAGCCAGTGGGCTAGGAATGGATTTTATATTTTTGAAGGATGGGGAAAAAATCAAAGGAATATTTTGTGATGTCGAAAATTACGACCAACTTAGACAGCTTATTAAAAAGCAGAGACATTACTTTGCCAACAAAGGTCTATCTAGTCAAGGCTATGGTTTTTCCAGTGGTCATGTATGGATGTGAGAGTTGGACTGTGAAGAAAGCTGAGCGCCGAAAAATTGATGCTTTTGAACTGTGGTGTTGGAGAAGACTCTTGAGAGTCCCTTGGACTGCAAGGAGATCCAACCAGTCCATCCTAAAGGAGATCAGTCCTGGGTGTTCATTGGAAGGACTGATGTTGAAGCTGAAACTCCAATACTTTGGCCACCTCTTGCGAAGAGTTGACTCATTGGAAAAGACCCTGATGCTGGGAGGGATTGGGGGCAGGAGGAGAAGGAGACGACAGAGGATGAGATGGCTGGATGGCATCACCGACTGGATGGACATGAGTTTGATTAAACTCTGGGAGTTGGTGATGGACAGGGAGGCCTGGCATGCTGCGATTCGTGGGGTCACAAAGAGTCGGACACGACTGAGCGACTGAACTGAACTGAACTGAACAGGAATTAAAGTGTCATTGGGACCCAGCCACAGTCCTTTGCTTACTCCTGTCTGTGGCTGCTTCATGCTAGAATGATAAAGGTGAGTGGCTGTGACAGAGACCATATGGCCTGCACATTTGGCCACCCCTGCTCCCTTTCCAGCCCTTCCCCGTGGCCCTCCTTGGATCCATATGTCATAACCGAGCTGTGTGTCACCCCCTGGCATTACCTTCAAGTTCACCTGCTGTCACCAGCCTTATGTTCCAGGCCTTGCAAGACCCACCTCATGAAGATGGCTCACATCCCGTCATCCTCCAGCACTGCAGTGGGAGAGTGTGTCTGACACCTCTCCAGCCCCGGCTTCTCCCCCAGCGCTGCCCTATCCACCCCCAGGCCCAGCCATACCAGCATGCACTCTGGTGTGCACATCAAGAATGCAGGGAACCCCGGGCTTTCTTTCATTAGCTGTCCTGGAAGCCGGGCAGCCCCGTCCTTCACATTTCATCCAGCAAGACCTGAACACACCCCCTGACCCCCAGCCACACCAGCAGGTCTACAAACGGGACCCACTACGCCCTGCCCTGGGCCAGCGCGCTCCAGGAAGTGCCTGTAAACATGCATGGAACCGTCCCCTTCAGGAGGTAACTATCAGAAGAGCTGAACATACAGCAGAGTCCCTTCTCCAAGAGTCTGGTGCAACGATCAGGCCGGAAGTGAATACCTATGCCTGGGTTCTGTGGTCTGAGCCCTTGACTCATATGGGTCCCTCATTCTGTGGTCCCCCTGGCCAGGGTGGGGGAAATGCACCAGCCCTGAATGAACGGCCTCTCTCCAGGCTTCTTGCGTGTAAAGGAAAAAATAATAATAAATGTCTCTCCTGTTTAAGTGCCTGATATTTATTTTAGGTTTTCCGTTCTAAGAAGACAAAACTACACCAAGTCCAAACTCCAGTGTTACAGACAGGGAGAGTGAAGCCTGGCAAGACAAAAGGACTGCCCAAGGTGAGCCACTCCGAGGTCATCCTTGCAGTGCCTTGCTTTGTATGGTGTGATTTCTTGTGCACACAACCTGTGTATGTATGTTTTTGCTCTTGTGCCTCCCTCGGGTGGGGAGCAAGTGATTAATCTTCCACCCAGATAGCTTCAGGATGTTCTTTGCAAGCAAGGCAATAATCAAAACTTTACAACCACTTTCTTGCCAAAAGTCATTCAAATAACAGCCAGTTGGCATTCAGGTACTCAGGACACCCAGGAACCCCAGAGGACTGTCTACTGAGTCTAAGAGACTGGCCAGCCAAGCCCAGGACCACTGGGTATAGGGGAACAGCAGAGTGATTGCCATGCCACACAGGCATGGCCACAGAAGACCCCATGGGGTCACTCCATGCCCACCCAGACCACCCTGCCCGAAGCAGCACCTTGGGAAACATGCGGAAGATCTCTTGGTTGATGTGGTAGATGCCGCTAGTATCCACCTCGTACTTGAGCTTCGTCCCCAGGGGCGTGTTCTTCTGGGTGGTGAAGAGGAAGGAGGGGGCATTGCAGCACCTGGACAGAGTGGACCTGCCGGGCAGGAGATGGACAGGAAGAGGACAATGACGCGGGGCAGAGCAGAGCCTCCCAGAGAACAGAGGGATCTCAGAAGTGAGGCCCTTCGGGGAGGCCAGGGAGCACCATCCTTTCCCACCCACCCCTTCTCACCCCTGTTCATGTGTCCCCTGTCTTCAGAACCCCTCCCAATGCCCGAGCCTTTCAGGGTCGAGCCAGGTCTCCCTCCGTAATCTCCCAGCTGCCCTGTCTCCACTGGCCAGACTGCCCTCCAAAGTCCCAGAGCACAGACTGGGTACCACTTGCTTTATCCTGTCAACTCCTTCTTCACTTGAATGAAAGTCCCTGGGTGGCCGGGACCCTGCCTGTCAGGATTCTGCATGATGTCAGACACATGGGTGTCAGCAACCAGGTCCTGCCAACCCTGGGTGAAGCATTCCCACGTCAGCTTTCACAAGAGCCGCCAAGCCTTCTACTACTTCCTAGAAACACTTCCTTACCCAGCTCTCAGGGAAAACCCAGGGATGGGAGCGCTTCCTCGGTTCTTGGCCTCCATAACTGACTCTAGGTGAGGCTAACCCCGCCTGATGGTCAAAAAGCAACACACGCATGGTCAACAGAAATGAGCCATTTCAGTCACTTAGAAACTGTCCCAAGAATAGGGAATGGTCAGATATTGGATGGAGGGTTGATACTGGGTGACTTCTTGCAGAAAGTGGAACTTGGCTTTTAAAAGGTTTCGGGAGTTCATGATTTAAAAAAAAAAAAAAAAAAAAAGCCCTGTGGTTTTCACTGACAAAAACACTCAGACATGAGCTACAGAAGGGTTAATGCTCAGACAATGCAAGCAGGCTTAAAAAATAGCCTCCAAGGGAGCGTGGGGCTGATGAGGCAGGCTTGGGAGCCAGCCAGGCCAGAGAAGCATGGTTTTCTCTTCTCTGCAGCTGGTGATCTGCCTGGCACTGCATTCTCCCAAGTGTGCCTGCAAGACTTGGTGATGGGGTCAGATCCTAGACACATCCTGCTCCCCTATTCTGGGGATCCGAGTTCCACCCTGGCTATAGAGGGGCTGGATTTGACAAAGGATGCCAGCTGTCCCCGTCTCACTTTGGGGGCTATGAGAGGACGAGGATCCACTTTCTCCAAGAACAGCAGCAGTGGGCCATGACACACTTCCTCCCCCCAACACTGGTTCTGGGCACAGTTATATCCAGCCTCCTGGCGGCCCTGGGCAGAATGGAACACCATCTCCATGGAGCCCGGATGATGACTACTAACCAAAGCTGAGGACAAGCTTTCTGGAAAGTCCATGCTGAAGGTCTGGGATGGAAATCTGGATGCCAGCCTGGCATTGAGAGGCCTGGCTTCTAGTTTCTGCTCTGCCTTCACCAGCTGTGGGGCTTGGGGTAGGTCTGCTCCCCTCTCTGCCTCAGTTTCCTCATCTGTAGAATGCAGGGCTGGCTTTTCTGACCCTCTGTAATCCTGTGACTCTAAGCTTCTGAAGCCCAAGAAGGGTATACACATTATTTTTTGTGACTCTATCTCTTGCAGAGACTTCACAGGGGAGCTCAGTTGGCTGCTGGCCATAGGGAGTAGTCTTTCCTGGGGAGGGCTGTGACTGAGGCTTTCCAGAGAGAAGGCCAGAGGCCTGGTGAGGCAGGAGCCATCAGTCAGCATTTCAAAGCAGCATCTTGCTGGTCCATCTTGTCAGCCCACTGGTGAGTATCCCATTGAGGGAGACTGACTCATATTAACCAAGCTCACGAGGGACTGATATATAAACCAGGATCAAGTGTGTCCATTTGCAAGCAGTAGGGGAGGGGAGGGCCTCTGTTACAGGATTCCTCTCCTATAACTGGAATGCTCACGCCTGTGTTCCAGCACATTCCCCCACCCCACCCCACTGCACCAGGTTCTTACACCTCAGTTTAGAATCTCGTCATCAGTGAGCTTGTAATGAGAGCAAAGGGGGAAGACCACCTTGCCTCGAAGCTTTTTCCATTTAGCGCATGGCAGGACCTGATGCCATTTCTCTCTCCCACACCTGGAACCACCCCCCCCCACCACCGCCAGAAGGGGCTCAGCTCTCAGAGCCTCCCCCCAGATAGTGCTGGCTAGTCCCTGCCAACGGCTCCCACATGTATCCCAGTTTTTCTCTTGCCACATCATCTCCCTGTGGCTTCGTTATTTCCTTAGATATGTGACTCCCACTGATGACGTTTCTGTGCCGCTCTCAGCCTGGACAACATCCTCTGGCATCTCATGACCTCCCAACCCCATCCAGTGCTCATCAGCATGCCCTTGGTGGGCTTGGGCCTCCCTGTCATGCATCACCCGCAATAAGGCTTCATTCTAAAGGTGAAATTGGGGCTGCATCGGCAACACAGATCTTGGACCTTTTCCCTGCATTCTACATCTATGATTTGTGGGTCTCTGCAAATGACTGTTGAGCCTCAGCTGGGCTTCTGCAGTCTCGGGGAGGCCTCTGGTTAGGGGCTGCTGGTACCTGCAGCACATTTCTGAAACACGCCACTTAAAGCTGCCTTTAGACTTGGCCCAGAACTGCAACAAACTGGAAGAAATGACTTATACAGAAAATACAAAACACTCAGTGTTGTTTGCTTTCCACAGCTTCCCATGTAGGATTCTTTATGCAGATGGCTCCTCAGCACATTCAAACTACGACCCAAGTTGCTGAAATCCAGTTTATATACACATTCCCAGGATCATGTCAATTCCATTCCATAAGGTCTTCTTGTACTAAAAGCATACCAGAAACCCCCAGAATTTTATAATAGAGCAGACCCTACAGCTCACCACTAATCACAGAGACTGGACATCTATTAGCTTCTTAGCTCTCAAAGACAGGAGAACACCAAGATATAGCTCTTGCCTCCTGGGAGCTTTCAATCTGTCCATTTCAGTTAGAGAGCAGCTCAAGAATAAGGTATAGCTGTGCTCCAATGGCTGGTCCATGCTCTAGGAGCCCAAGTGCTCTGAGAGGGAGAGCACTGCTGAGTTCAAGCAGCTGCCCCAGGGGCTGGGTGGGGAGCAGGGTGAAGCCACGGAAGATGTGTAAGGAGCCTTAATGCACAGGCCAGCTGGAGACCTCATGGTCAGGGGCTGTGCTGGAGATGACAGCACCGACCACGCACCGGTGCTGCCAGGACTAAGAGCAGGAACACGGGTGACAGTGCCCCGCAAGATGCCAGCCTCAGCCTGTGTGCTGAGTCAGAACCTCCCCACTTCCAGATTCCAAAGCCCAATCAAGGCCAGCACCGGGGAAGATGCCCCTGGGGGCATCTGGCCTGGCAGGATGAGGGAGATTTGAAGAGGTGGTCAGGAGAACCACACGCGCAGAAGGGCTGGGGAGGACAGACGAGTCATAGATACTTGAACTGGTTGGCTTCGGAGATGTTCATCGCCCATTTGCACATCTGGAGGCTCTTCCACCTGTCGAACAGCTCCGACTGTTTCACCCTTGGGAGTGGAAGACAGAGAGTGCATGAAAGGGCCAGGCTGGACACAGTGTCACCATCCCCGAACACGCTCCCTTCCTGTTCCCCCTTATGCCAAGTCCTGGGCTAGTCCTTTGTATTCACTGTATTTTATAATTTGCAAAACCCTTGATTTTCTGGCATCTGGAGCCTGGTGAACTCCTAGAGATAGCAAACCACCCTCCAGCAAGCCTGCCTGCCATGCACACACCAACCAATCCAGAGTCCACACCCTCAACCACCTCCTTTATGAATGGAGCCACTACCCCCCTGCCCTCATCAGCCCAGAGCTAGGGATCAGAAAACCAGGGGCAGTCCCTATGCACCGAGCTCACTGAAATCATGCAAACTAGCCAAACCTAAACCTTTTTATCCCACCTTGTCCATTCCTTCCCAAGAAAACCACAATAAAGGGTCTCACCCATGCTTTCCCCTTGCCCCTCCTGCCTCCTGACCAGTCCTGGTGCTTCCCCATGCATCCCTGAGTGGCATGCCATGCCTCCTGTCTCTAAGGATCTGTGAGCACAAGAACATGCTCCTTCATGACAGTCTTGTGTGTCCATGTGTCTTACTATATGTGATCAAAACAAATCTGGGTACATTTCAAAACATCCTTCCTCAAATGCCCACTACACAGGCCTGCACAGTTCTCCCAGGAACATCTGTCTATAAAGTGAGACCACTTTCTTAAGGTCTGTAGATAACCCCACACTGCACTCAGGACACAGTAGGACTCATTGCAAGGGTGCAATGCCCCTCTCTTTCTCTTTTCCCAAGGGCAGATCACAATTTTCAGTGACAGAGAGGAAGAGAGGAGAAAACTTTTGTCTGGACAACCTTTTGTTAAACTGAGCTGTCGTGATGATGCTCACTCACAGCCGCCAGCACTTCCCTTTCTGTAAAACCTATAGCTTCTCTTTACTTCTGCCTGACCATTCCCACTAAATAGTAAATACTGGGCCTGGGCATCATGCCTGACTGTGTCTCCAGTGCTAAGGGTCATAGCAGATGAGCAGTAAATATTGTTGAGTACATCAATAAATTAATGAATGAATCAATGAGCCTGAGTTCAAATAAAATCTATAAATGTTATTGAATCCCTCAATATGTAGGATCTAGAGATACTGTGGTGAACAAAACTCCCTGCCTACATAGACTTTGCACATGGGAAGCAGATATGTGAGATACTACACCAAAATCACAAACAATAAAAGCAAAAATAGACAAGTGGGACTCCATCAAACTGGAAAGCTCTGCACAGCAAAGGAAATAATCAACAGAGTAAAAAGACAACCTACTGAACAGGAGAAAATATTTGCAAACCACATATCTGATAAGGGGTTAATATACCAAATACATAAGAACTGCTACAAAGCAACAGCAAAGAACCAAAGAACCTAATTTTTAATTGGGGAAAGGACTTGAAAAGGCATTTCTACAAAGAAGACATACAAGTGGTCAATACCAATAATCATCATGAAAATGCAAATCAAGACCATAGTACAATATCACATCATACTTCTTAGAATGGCTATTATCAAAAAAAAAAAAAAAAAGATGACAAACATTGGCAAGGATACAGGGAAAAGGGAACCCTCCTATACTGTTAGTGGGAATGTAAAATGGTATGGCTACTAGGGAAAATAGTATGGAGATTCCTCAAAAAATTAATAGTAGAAATACAATATAGTTCAGCAATCCCACTTCTGGATATATATCCGAAAGAATTGAAATCAGAATTTTAAAGAAATGCTTACACCCCTATTTGCATTGCAGCATCATTCAGAATAACCAGGATATGGAAACAATCTAAATGTTCACTGATAAATGAATGGATAAAGAAAAGGTATTCTATACATACAATGAAATATTATGAAGCCTTCAAAAAGAAGAAAATCTTGCCACATGTGACAACTTGGATGAATCTGGAGGACATTATCCTCAGTGAAAAAGCTGGTCGCTGAAGGACAAATACTGCATTATTCTACTTGCATGAAGTAACTAAAGTAGTCACTCTTATAGAAACAGAGAAGAATGATAGATACCAGGGGCTCTGGGAAGGAGTAATGAAGGTTGTTATAAAGTTTCAGTTATATAAGATGAGTAAGTTCTAGAGACTTGCTATAAAACTTAGTGCTCACAGTTGACAATACTGGGCTGCACACTTAAAATCTTGTTAACAGGGTAGGTCTCATGTTAAGTATTCTTATCACAGCCAAAAAAACAAACAAACTCAGACATATAATGCCATGTCAGGGAGTGCTAAGTGCTACAAAGAAATATGAAGTAACAGGCTATAAGGATAATATAGTTTTCAACACAGGGAATAAAGACAATCCTGTATAATAACTAGAAATGGTGTATAACTTTTAAAATTTGTGTATCACTGCATTGTATATCTGTAACATATAATATTGTATACGAACTATACTTCAATCAAAAAAAGAAAAAAAAATTTTCAAAAAGAAAAATGAAGCAGGGATCAAAAAGTGAGTGCTTCAGATGAGTTGATCCAGGAAGGCTTCCCTGAAGAGGGGAACCGTACACAAAGAACTGAACTTGTGCAGGAGTGAGCCACACAAATATCTAGGAAAGGAGTATTCCAGAGAGAAACGTGAGTGCAAAGGCCCTGGGGCAGGAAGCTGCCCTGCAGCTTTAGCCGGCCAGAAGGAACCCTTCCTCTCATCCTGACGTCTTCCTTCCAGCTTTCTCAAACCTCCCACAGCAGCTCTTGCCTCTTGAGCTCATGTGGCATCGAAGGAGAGGGGCCATTACGCAGTGGCACCCTCACTCACACTGCCGCCCTCCCTCGCTCCCTGTCACCCACAGGTCCCCAGCGTAGCATCCTGCTTGGCCAATGCCTCAAACACCTCCTGGAAGCACAACCCTGGTGACACTGCAGGCTGGGGTCCCACGGTCAGCTCTTACCAGTGTCTAGGCCCCATTCTCCACACCTCCAAAGACCTTGTCACACACTAGACCAGGATCTGGGCCTGGACACCCAGCCTAGAATCCTGGTTTCATTCCCAACTGGCAATATGACCTCAAACAAGTCATTTAATCTCTCTGAGACTCAGCTGCTTTATCTGTAATACGGATATAATAACTTCTGCCCTGCTGATCTCAAAGGTTGTCAGAAAGATCAAATGAGATAATATGTATAAAATATTTTTTAAATTGCTTTACAAATGCAGAGATCACCTTTACCTTAAAGATGAAAGGTTGATCCCAGGCACTTAACCCCTTTCTCCCAATACATGACTATTTTCCAGAAGAGGAACAAAAAAGATGATTGTCCTGAGAATAATCTAAAAAGAAAGAGCTTCTGGGGGGCGGGGGGAAGTTCATTAGAAAAGTTGGAAGATGAAGTCAAGGAATTTTCTCAGCAAGTAGAAGCAAAAGGCAAAGAGAGAAAAGATGAGATGAAAAGCTATTCAAGGAGCAATCTAGAAGTATACAACTCTTAGAGGTACCAGAAAGAAGAGGGGAGGAATACTGGAGGAGGAAATATAAACAAACCCAAGAGAAAATTCAAGAGTTTGGAGTGAGCTCTGGAATAACAGGTCTCCATGAGTGTGCATCCTGAGGCCCAGGTTCTGATATTCCAGAACGGTCATGACCTGTAAAGACTCAGACAGAAGAAACAGGTCACATCCAAAGGAAAAACTAGTACCATGTGCTCACACAGCCCTGGACACTAGAAGATGATGGAGAAGGTCTTCAGCATTCTGGGGATGAATAATCTTCACCTAAAATGCCAACGCCACCAAGCCAACAAATAAGAGAATTATTTGTACACAGAAGGACTCAACCATTATCCACCAGTTTGGGGGAATTTACCTGAACATGGGCAGCAGCAAATGGAGGCGTAAACCAAGAAAGAAGCAGCTATATGGGTGAATCCAATCTACAGGGCTGAAAAGGGAAGTGACAACTGTGTGTGACCTACCCAGAGAGCAGCCTGTCCAGGATGGATAAAGAGGATGAAGGGAAACCCTTGGGGGAATGCCTGGTTGATGTAGAGGCAGGGGAAAAAAATGGGGCATGATAGAGACAACGTGTTCAAAAGGAAAAAGATGACAAGAAGCTCCAGGAAAAAAAGTGAGGGGGAGGGGGGGAATGTACAAGAAAGGCAATGGGAGTCACTATTTTCTGATCTTCAAATTTTAGAGTCAGCCCATAGAGAAAACCCAAGAAAGGCTTGCTATAGTTACATATAGCATGTAAATGTCATCAGCCTTGACATTCTCAAGGTAAACTCATGGATGACTAAAGCCAGATACTCTCATCTTAACAAAGTACAGAACCAACAGATACTGCCAGTATTTGGTAGAACAAGAAATAGGTTATCTAGGCAATCTATAGATAGAAGAACTGAAAATAGCAGGACCCCTCAACTGGGAAAAGTGGAGTGGAGGGAGTGTTTGGGCTGGCTATGGGAGTGGAATCCTCATCCACCAAAGTAGGACATCAGTGGACACTAAACGTGGCATCCGTGGCATGCACAGGACTGAAAGGTACGAGGTGACTCCCAGAAGAAACAGCCATGAGTTGTAAGGAGCAGGGCTGGGGGAGAGGGTGTGGGCAGAAACCGTCACTTTTTATTACTATAAACTTTGGTAGCTACTTGATTTTTCCAGCCGTGTGCAGGAGATGATGACCATCCCCTCGTCCTCCTCCTTCTTTCTTCCCCTTTCCCTCCATGGCCTCTTCTGCTCCCACCTAGGCCTCATCCACCTACTCATTCGTCTAACAGACACGTCCAGAGCCTGGGCAGGGTCAGGCAACAAGACTCAGAGAAGCATGGGCACAAAGGAACGTCCCAGCCCAGAAAGCTGCCGTCCCTGCTCCCAGCCTCTCTCCTGGTCTCTGCAAGGCTCTGTCAGGGTTCCCCAGCCCAGAAAGAGGGGGAAAGGGCGGCAGGAGAGACCCAGCGTGAGGTCCCAGGCATGCATGGCACTGTCTGTGTGTGAGCGCAGGCATCAGTTGGTTGAAAACTAAAGAGGCCCTAGAATGGCTAAAATAAAGCATAGATAATTTTTACAAGTATCAGGGACAACGTGATTTTGCAACAAATCATCATAGAGTCATTCCTCATTGTATCTGGCATTGTCAGGGAATGAGGCCCTTACCATGTGGGAGTTTTTCAGTTGACTGATTTTTACCATTGATTGGAGCAATTTTGTATCAGAATCATTCCCAGATGAATCACACACTGCCCTGTCTCCTCAGATGGAATGCCAGCTGACATGCATGTACTGGAAGGGCCTCTGGGCACATCCGTCCAGACCCTTCCATTGGCAGATGGAGGTTTAACCTTTTCCCGATGACTCAGGGGCTCTACTGTGAGCACTGCTCTTGCCTCTGGGCTGGACCACAGTGAAGCCCACAGGTGCCCAGGTGGCATCAGAACCACTCAGATCAGAGGCCAGTCTCTCGCTTTTCTGATTTCAGCTCTCGGGGAGCCCACTGACCTCAGCTTGAGGACTCAGGAAAGGAGTCACTGGGCTTATTGCTCCCTGAAAAACAGCCTGTTTCCCCCAGCACAAGGGCCCAGACTCCAGGGCCAGGGAATCATATGGAGGGCAACTGACATGAAAGAGACAGGAGGGGCAACGCCCAGAGGTCATCAGCTAGAGACCAGAGAGGGTACCCCAAAGGCAGAGACACATAGAGCCAAACGCACAGAGGCCCCATGACCACTAACACGAGTTCCTGACAAGAGACAGAGGGTGAGCAAAGATGGTGTGGGGCGGGGATGAGGTTCCATCACACCCCACAATGTTGGAGATTCAGGCTTGAAACGAAGGGTCCAGTGGTGATGATGGTTTAGTCGCTAACTCATGGCCGAGTCTCACGACCCCATGGACTGTAGCCTGCCAGGCTCCTCTGTCCATGGGATTATCCAGGTGAGAACACTGGAGTGGGTTGCCATTTCCTTCTCCAGGGCATCTTCCCGACCCAGGGATCGAACCCGGGTCTCTTGCATTGTAGGCAGATTCTTTACAGACTGAGTTATGAGGAAATCTCCTTAAGGGCCCGAGGAACTTCTAACATGGTCCCTCTGGTAGGACTATTATGGACTGTGTTATAGCTTCTTTGAAATTCCTATGCTGAAGCCCCAAACCCCAAGATCTCAGAATGTGACTCCATTTGGAGACAAGGTCTTTAAAGAGGTGGTTAAGCTCAAATGACATCACCAGGGTGGGCCCTAAACCATTACAAGTGATGTCCTTATAAGAAGAGGAAATTAGGACATGGATACAGAGGGAAGACCCTGCAAGACAGAGAGAGAAGACGGCCACGTATCAGCCAAGGAGAGAGGCCTCAGGAGAAACTAATCTGCTGGCACCTCGATCTCAGACCTTCAGCCTCCAGAGCCATGAGGAAGTAAAGTTCTGCTGTCTAAGCCCCCTGGTCGGGGGTACTGTGTGGTGGCAGCCTCAGCAAAACAATACAGGGACTCAGGCAAACACACAGGAAATATATGGGGTAGGGAGTGGGCTGGAGCAGAAGGATGGCCCATTTGCAGGGTCTCTCAGGCTTCCTGTCTGGATCCTGAGGTAGCCATGAAGAAACTGCATCTCATAATTTTTAAAATTAATTATTCACCCTTTGTGAACTCTTAAGTTATGCTCTCAGGGTGAGACATCTTAAGAGCCTAAGATCTTGGAGTTCTGAGAAAAGATCAGGCTCTCTGCTTACACCTTTGGCTCCTAACAAGGGGCCAGGCAGCCATCTTTGTCATTAAGTCACAGCTCCTCGGCGGAGCACATCCAATGCCAACCACATCCTACTCCTCCCACCTTCCCACGGGTCCCATGGCCCTTAGACAGAGAAAAATTCTAGATCCTGGCCTGCACTGCAGGACTCACAAGGCCCAGCCCTGCCTGCCCTCCAGTGACCCGGCTCCGGTGTCCCCTCAGGCCGGCTCTCAGAGCCTGGGACCCAGCGGGCCCTTCCTGGCCCAGGCCTCTGCACACACTGTCCCCCTGGTCTGGAATCCTCTTGGCCCAGTTAACTCCTTGTCCCCTCCACAGTGCGGTCTGCTCAGGGCTGGGTGGGATGGACAGAGAGGGAGCACTTCCTGGGCTTCCTCTGCAAGCTTCAAGCCCTTGGTCAGAACAGGGACCGTGAACAATGCCGCTGATCCCAGCTGGATACCTGGCCTTAACCCCAGACCCTCGGTCAGAACAGGGGCTGTGAACAACGCAACTGATCCCAGGTGGACACCTGGCCTTACCCCAGACCCTCGGTCAGAACAGGGACCGTGAACAATGCCGCTGATCCCAGCTGGATACCTGGCCTTAACCCCAGACCCTCGGTCAGAACAGGGACCGTGAACAATGCCGCTGATCCCAGCTGGACACCTGGCCTTATCGCTGGAACTTTCCTGTACGACTAAGCTGATGGAGTCTGTGAATGTCAGCAAAGCTGCTGCTGCTGCTGCTGCTAATTCCAGAAAGGAGAAGGTTTGGGGGTGTGGGAACGACATTCACATTTATTGAGCACCTATTATGTGTGCTGCTGTGACATGCACTCCTGGGCTATGTATCTGTGACATCATATGGAAAAACCTGAATGAACTTTTTGGCCAACACAATACTTTCACTTATGTTATTTCAGTTAGTCTTTACTGCAACCTGAAAGTAGGTAATAGTGGCCCCATTTTTATAGGAAAGGAAAGACTCAGAGAGGTTGAGTAATTTGTATAAACAAGCAGAGCTGCTAAGGCCCACATCGGCTTTAGACCCCAAGTCTGCCTGACCCCAAGGCCCATGCTCTTTCAATGACCCGCATGATCACGTGATCATGTCAAATAGCTACAGGCACAGCGGCTCCTGCCTGTGGGCCTGATGGTGGTGCCAGGATCCTGTCAGGGGCCCTTGAGTCCACATAAGCTCCCAGCACTGCCTGGCCCCGATTTCTTCCACATCTGGGTGTACAGCTGCCCCTTGAATAGCACAGGGCTTGTGAGCAGCCCTCTAGGCCCACAGTTCCTCTGCATCCACAGATTCAACCAACCTCAGACCGAGTAGCACTGCAGAACTTACTCTTGACAAACATCTGCATCTAAGTGGAACTGTGCAGTTCAAACTCACATTGTTCAAGGGTCAATAGTAACAGTTTTCAAGTCAACATGCATCCTGTCATGATTGACAGGACACAGATTCCTCTCATTCCTGGCAGTCCTGTAAGGGAGTGAGTGAGTGTCCAGCATGTGATGTGTCTTCCCTCGCACAGGTTGTAAAAGAGCCACAGTGATACACTGGGGTGGGGAGGAGCCGGCACAGTTCTCTTGCTATTTGGGTGCTGGTTTATGCGGACTTTCTAGAAGGATGCATGAAGATACACGGGTGGCTTCTGAGGAGGAGACTGAGGGAGGGGAGGTCTGTGGAAAGGGGGCTTCTCACTTTATACCCTTTTGCACCACTTCAAAGCTGTATACTTTAAATAATAATTTTAACAATGAATGAATATAAAATTTTTAAAAGGCAATAGCAAGAGGGCAATGCTTAAGCCACAAAGTACTGAATTTCAGGACACACACTCCTGTGCCCTCTTCAATTTCTATATAAGAGAGCTCCATGATGATAATTGTGGAGGCTGGTAATTGAGCCGGGGACTGGAACACGCAGTCACCAGAGGTGACCTTGCAAACTTGACATTTTTCGTAAAACACAGTCATCCCTACGTCCAGCCCTCCAGGGCTCTCCAAACGCCAGAGGCCCTGGGGAAGCAGGCCTAATTCTTGCTCTGTCATGAGCCACCAAGTGTCCTATTTCCTTGGACCATGCCCCCACCCAAGCCCCTGCCCTGCCCGCCCCCAACATGTACCGCCAAGCACCCACCACCCACCCAGCCACACTCACATGGAGAGCACCTTCACTTCCAAGATCTCGTGCCTCAGCTCCAGGCATCTTGTGGAGTTATACTCAAAAGGGCCCTCGTAAAATTCAAAGTACCTGGGAACCAACAGGGACAGAGGTTACTACGCAGAGAAGCAGGCAGACTCCCAGGATCCTGTTGGGTCTCTCAATGGCAGGAGTGGGGGGCAGAGGGGTGGTGTCCTGTCAAAATAATAGAGAAAACCAGCCCTCCCCAGCAGATGACCTGATGGGGGTCTGCCTCCAGGCCCACTGGTTTAATCACTGGTTGGCTGATTACTCTCGTCACCCCTACTACCCCGGGAGTATAAGCATTTAGGCCATGAACCCGTTTCAGTACATCATGACATTTTGAAGCAGGCTTGGTTCCACCTGGTGACTTTGAAGGAGAAAGAGGATGCTCTGGATACATCCTCATTCGCACTCCTCCTGGGACCAGTCGTTGACGGAGGCGGCCCTGGAGTCGGTCAGCGAGGCTACAGGCCTTCAGCCGGGCCTGCCCTCTCCTGCCCCTTTCTCCTCCTCCTGGGGAAGTGTCTAGGAGTGACAGCCACAGCATAGCTGAGAAAGCACAAGCTGCTTTCCTACTGTGAAAAGAATTTCTGCTTCCATTAGCTCATTGGCGTTCATGCTCGCGCTGGGACTAGGTGAGGCTCTTCCTCCCCATTTGGCAGCTGAGAAAACTGCAGCTGAACAGACGGTGCTCCAGGCCATGCTGTCAGTGTGGAGGAGCCTGAGCCACCTCAGTCCCTTCTGCAGCTTCACGCAGAATAACAATGCCAACCTCAGCCAACACTGTTGAGCCCTTGTCACGGGCCAAGTTCAGGGCCCAGTACTCTACATGGAAGTATTCATTTTTTTTCCTTTTTAATTGAAGTAGAGTTGACTTATAGTATTATGTTAGCTTCAGATATACAGCATGGCGATTACAAGATAATGGGTATAATTCCCTGGTTATACAATATCTCCTTGTTTCTTATCAATTTTGTATACAGTCATTTATATCTGCTAATCCCATCAGTTCAGTTCAGTTCACTCAGTCGTGTCCGACTCTTTGACCCCGTGAATCACAGCACGCCAGGCCTCCCTGTCCATCACCAACTCCCGGAGTTTACTCAAACTCATGTCCATCCAGTCGATGACGCCATCCAGCCGTCTCATCCTCTGTCGTCCTCTTCTCCTCCTGCCCCCAGTCCCTCCCAGCATCAGGGTCTTTTCCAATGAGTCAACTCTTCGCATGAGGTGGCCAAAGTATTGGAGTTTCAGCTTCAGCATCAGTCCTTCCAATGAACACCCAGGACTGATTTCCTTTAGGATGGACTGGTTGGGTCTCCTTGCAGGCCAAGGGACTCTCAAGAGTCTTCTCCAACACCACAGTTCAAAAGCATCAATTTTTTGGTGCTCAGATTTCTTTATAGTCCAACTCTCACATCCATACATGACCATTGGAAAACCATAGCCTTGACTAGATGGACCTTTGTTGGCAAAGTAATGTCTCTGCTTTTCAATATGCTATCTAGGTTGGTCCTAACTTTCCTTTCAAGGAGTAAGTGTCTTTCAATTTCATGGCTGCAATCACCATCTGCAGTGATTTTGGAGCCCCCAAAAATAAAGTCTGACACTGTTTCCACTGTTTCCCCATCTATTTCCCATGAAGTGATGGGACCAGATGCCATAACCTTAGTTTTCTGAATGTTGAGCTTTAAGCCAGCTTTTTCACTCTCCTCTTTCACTTTCATCAAGAGGCTTTTTAGTTCCTCTTCGCTTTCTGCCATAAGGGTGGTATCATCTGCATATCTGAGGTTATTGATATTTCTCCCGGCCATCTTGATTCCAGCTAATCCCATATTCCTAATTTATCTCTGCCCCCTCCCCTCTCCCCTTTGATAACCACAAGTTTGTTTAGCATGTCTGTGATTCTATTTCTACTTTGAATGCACAATCACTTGTATTACTTTCTGTTGCTGTTTAGTCACTAAGTCATGTCCAATGCTTTCTGACCCCATGAACTGTAGCCTGCTAGGCTCCTCTGGCCATGGGATTTTCCAAGCAAAAATACTGGAGTGGGTTGCCATCTCCTCTTCCAGGAGATCTTCCCGATCCAAGGATCAAACCCATGTCCCTTGTGTCTCCTGCATTGGTGGGCAGATTCTTTACCACTGAGCCACCTAAGCAGCCCTGTATTACATTTTAGATTCCACATATAAGTGACACCATATAGTATTAGTCTTTGTCTGACTTATTTCATTAAACATAATATCCTCTTCCAATCTGTATCTCTAGCCCACCAGATAAGTGGTCATCACAAGCATCCAGAGCAGGCTCTGGGGGTTAACACACTTGCCCAGAGCCATGTAGGTGGCAGGTGGCAAAGCTGGGTCACAAAGCAGTGCATACAGTCAAGATGCTCTTGTCTGCCCACTTTATAAGGACAGTTGGTGATCCCTGGAAAGGGCCCTCTGACCTCCTACAGCCACACCTGAGAGTTCACACCAGCCCAGGGAACATCTGCTGACTGGGGTGGGGTGGGGAATAGGCGGGGAAGGTGACCACCAAGATAAAACACAGTAGTTCCCTGCCAGACTCGGCCACGAAGGCAGAGGGGCCTCCAGGGAAGAGGCCAGCTGTACCCTCTCCTCATGGCCTCTCTTTCTAGAGGTCATCGGAAGACACCAGGGCTAATGAAGCTGTGAGGGTGGGATCCCAGGAGAGCCCACAATCAAGAAATCTACAGGCTCAGCCTCAAACTTGGGGCAGAGGCCTCTCTACAGCTAGCCCTGGAGAGCCAGAGGTCAGGGCAGAGCCCCAGGACTGCAGCTGGGCCCTGCAAGCCACAACCAAGGATTTAAAATAAAGTCAGTCCTTGAGCATTTCCCACAAACTTTCCCAAAACGTGGCAGCAGCTATTTCACATATATTCTCACTAACTTCTATAGACAAACTTATGTCTGTGCTGCTTTAGAAATACTAAGATATTTATCCAATTAATTGGCTTCTTTTTAAACAACTTGTATTTTAAATAATTTAAAATATAACATCATATTTAATACTTTAAAAAGATTATATTTGTAAATATTTCTTCTTTATTATTTTACTATAATTTAATTTTAAATATTATAATCATACATTTAAGACATTTTAAATATATTTTAGAATATTAAAAATATTTTACACAACAAATTGATTCCTATCCATACAAAATAAATCATCTCCCTCTTTTCATGTTATAAAAGAATTTAAGCAGATTTCGTAAAGTAATGCTCAAAATACTCCAGGCCAGGCTTCAACAGTATGTGAACTGTGAACTTCCAGATGTTCAAGCTGGATTTAGAAAAGTCAGAGGAACCAGAGATCAAATTGCCAGCATCTGTTTGTTCATCAAAAAAGAAAAAGAGTTCCAGAAAAACATCTACTTCTACTTTATTGACTATGCCAAAGCCTTTGACTATGTGGATCACAACAAACTGTGGAAAATTCTTCAAGAGTTGGGAATATCAGACCATCTGACCTGCCTCTTGAGAAATCTGTATGCAGATCAGGAAGCAACAGTTAGAACTGTACATGGAACAACAGACTGGTTCCAAATCAGGAAAGGAGTCTCTCAAGGCTGTGTATTGTCACCCTGCTTATTTAATTTATATGCAGAGTACATCATGAGAAACACTGGGTTGGATGAAGCACAAGCTGAAATCAAGATTGCCGGGAGAAATATCAATAACCTCAGATATGCAGATGACACCACCCTTATGGCAGAAAGTGAAGAAGAACTAAAGAGCCTCTTGATGAAAGTGAAAGAGGAGAGTGAAAAAGCTGGCTTAAAGCTCAACATTCTGAAAACGAAGATCATGGCATCTGGTCCCATCACTTCATGGGAAATAGATGGGGAAACAGTGGAAACAGTGTCAGACTTTATTTTTGGGGGCTCCAAAATCACTACAGATGGTGACTGCAGCCATGAAATTAAAAGATGCTTGCTCCTTGGAAGAAAAGTTATGACTAACTTAGATAGCATATTAAAAAGCAGAGACATTACTTTGCCAACAAAGGTCCGTCTAGTCAAGGCTATAGTTTTTCCAGTAGTCATGTATGGATGTGAGAGTTGGACTATAAACAAAGCTGAGTGCCAAAAAAATTGATGCTTTTAAACTATGGTGTTGGAGAAGACTCTTGAGAGTCCCTTGGACTGCAAGGAGATCCAACCAGTCCATCCTGAAGGAGATCAGTCCTGAATATTCATTGGAAGGACTGATGCTGAAGCTGGAACTCCAAAACTTTGACAACTTGATGTGAGGAACTAACTCATTTGAAAAGACCCTGATTCTGGGAAAGACTGAAGGCAGGAGGAGAAGGGGATGACAGAGAATGAGATGACTGGATGGCATCACTTACCCAATGGACATGCATTTGAGTAAACTCTGGGAGTTGGTGATGGACAGGAAGGTCTGGCATGCTGCAGTCCACGGGGTCGCAAAGAGTCAAACACGATTGAGCGACTAAACTGAACTGAGGCACTGAAGATCCTAAAATATCACTCTCCTTTTTCTGTTTCCTTTATGTTTTACAACTCTTTTCATTGTCTTTCTCACTTGGCAAAGTCATATTGATCCTTCAGTACCTACCTCAAAGGCCCCCACTTCTGGGAAGACTTTTCTAATACTCACTCTCAGGTTATTCTATACATTTTCTCTTAATTAGAGCAGATATCATTGTATTATAATTGTCTGTTTATATATCTATTTCCCTTTCCAAATGAGGAGTATCTGAAACATGTGAAATCTGTCTTTGTTATCTCTGCACATTTGCACTACAGAGACAAGAAAGCTAAAAACTACATTTCCCAGACTCCTTTGTAGCTAGGGTCCTCCATGTAATTTAAGTTCAACCAGTCAGTAGCTTCCCTGGAGGCTCAGAAGGTACAGAATCAGCCTGCAAATCAGGAGACCCAGGTTTGATCCCTGGGTCAGGAAGACCCCCTGGAGAAGGGAATGGCAACTCATTCCAGTATTCTTGCCTGTGAAAATTCTTTCCACGGACATAGGAGCCTGGTGGTCTACAGTCCACGGGGTTGCAAAGAGTCA